CTGTGGACATAGATTTAGCCATAAGTGTTCTTTAAACTCTCATATGAGAGTCCACACAGGACAGAAACCATTTGCATGTAAGGACTGTGGACATAGATTTAGCCATAAGTGTTCTTTAAACTCTCATATGAGAGTCCACACAGGACAGAAACCATTTGCATGTAAGGACTGTGGACATAGATTTAGCCAGAAGAGTCGTTTAAACTCACACATGAGAGTCCACACAGGACAGAAACCATTTGTATGTGAGGACTGTGGACATAGATTTAGCCGGAAAGATAGTTTAAACTCACACATGAGAGTCCACACAGGACAGAAACCATTTGTATGTGAGGACTGTGGACATAGATTTAGCCAGAAGGGTAATTTAGATTCACACATGAGAGTCCACACAGGACATAAACCATTTGTATGTGAGGACTGTGGACATAGATTTAGCTGGAAAAGTAGTTTAAACTCACACATGAGAGTCCACACAGGACAGTTTGTTGAGAAAAGCTAGTGTTTGTTTTCTGAGTATTTTTTTATGTATTTTGTTTTGTGAAATAATGCACAATACAACACTTGTATATTACAGCGTTTTCCTGTCACTTAGTGAAATATCATGAAAAAATAATTGCAGAAAATGTGTGTAAAAGCACAAATATTAATTTTTTTGCTGGGCATGTAAACGCATTATCGCGGTAATGCAGCCGWTGCTTAATGGTGATAATATTTTTAATGCTCATTAACACAGGTATTTATTTTTTTGTGTTTCTCTGTTGGATCTCTGTTCATTGGGCTGGCTATGAACACACACAAAGAYACACAAACCCAGTGTTTATGGCGAGGAGGCGGGATCTCTTTCTCTATTGGCTTTAGATGGCCTTCGTTGAGCATCTCTTCCAGTGAGAGCCTTTGTTGTTGAGACRTTGCGTGGCAACTTTCAGCCGCTCTCATGAACCCTGAGCTRCAGCCGGGACAGAAACATGGAGGAAGTCACCAGATTCTTCAGGTTATTTTTTATTTTAAAACTTTTTCCCAACGGCGGGCTGGAAAGAAGTGAAGTTAAGGCCCTGTCACACTATGACGTTTTAGACAACTTATGTTAATGTTGTCCAACACGTTGCAGTAAGATGTACATGTAGCATTTTCCTCCTTCAATTTATAATTTTTGGTGGATATAACTTGTGTTATGACTGTTTTGGGGAAAGAAATCAGATATATTCATTTCAGACCTGTTAAGGATCTTGCATGGCCCTTTGTGCTTCGAATTAGCATATCAACAGTCACCATGGCGCCTCAGAAGACCACTGAAAGAATTTACATTGTCACATTCCTGTTCCAACCCCCATAAGGACAAGCCTGTTCACTCTCTTCAAAGGAAAAGGTTGTTATCATGAGTACCACATCATGAGCCCATAACAGAGGTTTTAAAGGTTAGTACACAGAAGGAGAACACACACACAGACGAGAGTACAGCTAAAAACCAGAAGCAGCAGACCCCCTCTTGCCAGGCCTTCCCCGTGCTGATCAGTATGGGAAGGGGGTGTCATTCAACCTCTCCGCCATTTGACTCATAATAGCTCGCTCATCTCACTTCGACTCAGCCCTTGAGTTTTGATTTTTAAAGGAGTCAAATAAGCTAATGGTAATTCATCCGTCGTTTTAGTCTGTTTTTCTTACAAAGTGAAGATCAAATTGAGGGTCTTGAAGCCACTTGTGAAGAGCCAGACCCCAAGTCACCAGAGAAAGAGAGACTCCTTTTCTGACCAAGGGACCAGTCGAGTCTACCAGGCAAGACGGCCTGACGTCCAGTTCGCATGAAGAGCCTGTCTGGAGAACCAAGCTCCAGAGATGGTCTTCCACAGCTGACTTCAACCTCCTGGTACCCACACAGCAGAACACAAAAAGGAAAAGGTGAACACTTGTCTTGGTGAAACACACAGGTGCTCAGACCTAGATTTGATTTTTATCTTTGTAGGAGAGTTGGTAAACTAAATGTTTTTCTCGACCTTAATTTAGCTAGGAAGCCCTAGTTAAAACAACCACAGCTAAGCAGCTTATCCAACCTCACCTCCCTCAAAGCCTCAAAACCACTTCTCAGTGTTTATTTTTGTTTACACATTTGTTTGTTTTGTTTGTCTGTTTGTCCATTCATTTGTGATAAACTCTCTCAGTTTACCTGGTTCAACATGTCATCATTCATTCATTGCTTGCCATAGGTGTAAATAAATTTAATCTGTAAATAAATGGCCCGTGGAGAACGCGCCAACATGAGCTAATCTCAGTTTTTGTGTCTTGATGAGATATTCTGGTTTTGATAAGACAAGAACTCAGATCAATGTGGGTAAATTTATTCTRAGACTGATTACAATAAAGTACAGTTTTTCATTTCTTTCCTGGGTCAGTATCTGATCGAATTAAGAAGTACGGTGCTCCGAGGAATAATATATTCACAAAAAGTTGTGAATATGTTGTCAGAATGATGGCTGGACAATAATCTTTGACATGCTCAAAATGTTCATCTTATGCTGACGTGCTGCTGATAAGTGAGGCAGAAGTTACAGATATGCTACAGATAATTTATACATCAATTCACACGTTATGAAAATATTTTGTTCATATTTTATCAGTAAATGGATTGATAGAAATAATGTCTCAGTCTGGTTCTAATATAAACAAATTTAGCTCATTTAATTCACCAGAACCTTGTTTTGAATCTTGTAATCCTGTGTTGAATTTAATATTTCAGATATTTATGATAAACTACAAAACCAGCACTTAAACAGAAAGAATAGCAGGTTGTGGTGCAAAAAAAATGACAAAACAAAGCCACGCCTTTATTTTAATCCTGATCATAACCAACAAATGTATGTTTTGCTGTTAATATTGTTTAATTCCCAAAAGTAAAGCAACATCTGTGAGTGACAGCAAAATGCACAGCTGAGAGGAGCCGCACACAGTGATGGGGGCTTCAGGCTGTGCCTCAGCTGCTAATCAAATCGTGTCCGAACGACCATCCCATTAGTTCCTGATCACACGCAGCTGTTGATCCATGTTCCTGCACTCACCCCTATGGCGTCAGAACCATGACAAATCGATCGCGAGAGATAAAGACATCTGGCGCGCGCAAATTTAAATCCTGTGCGCGCCTTTTCATATCTGCGCAAGAGGGGATTGAGCTCCGCGAGCGGACATTTGCTCGCACGCGCACATTGTCTCCTTTCGTGCACAGAATCTCTCGGCCCGCGCGCGCACACACACTATTACCCTCGCGCGAGTCTTTTTTTTCATTCCCCCCTCGCGCGAGCTTCCTCTGCTTCTCGCTCGCCAGTTACTTTTGGCAGAAGGTGGGCGGATCCAGGT